TTTCACCAGTAAATATTTCAGTACCAACAATAGAATTTTTTCAAATCAAATAAAGTACTATAATCATTTTGTTATTAAGCCATATTCAAGAACAAGTAAAAAGTAATTTTAATAATTGCAATGAATTAAGATTGCAGTCATTTCCAATTAATTTTTACTAATAAAAAATATTGTTTTTTTGATTACAGAAATCTAAAATATAATCATGCCAGTTCCAGCACTTCAGAAACCTGCTCCTGTTTTCAAGGGTACTGCTGTTGTTAATGGAGCTTTTAAAGATATTTCTCTCACTGATTATAAAGGAAAATATGTTGTGTTGTTTTTCTATCCATTAGATTTGTAAGTATTCTGTTTCATAATTTTAGGTGCTTTGCAATATAGTTTGTTAATTGTATGCTGACTAACAAATAATTTATTTTATAGCACATTTGTTTGCCCAACTGAAATCATTGCTTTTTCTGACCGTGCACAAGAGTTTGAACAAATAGGTTGCAAACTGGTTGCAGCATCTACTGATTCTCACTTCAGTCACTTAGCATGGGTAAATACACCACGTAAACAAGGTGGTCTTGGTGAAATGAACATTCCCCTTCTTGCTGATAAAAGTAGTAAGATTGCACGTGATTATGGTGTCCTTGATGAAGAAACTGGTATTCCATTCCGTGGCCTCTTTATTATAGATGATAAACAAAATTTGCGTCAAGTTACTATCAATGATTTACCAGTTGGCAGGTAAGATATACATTTAAAGTTTTTAAAACTATTTTTGGTATGGTTTAATTCCAAATTTGCTTTTTCAGGTCTGTTGATGAAACCTTACGTTTGGTTCAAGCATTCCAATTTACTGATAAGCATGGAGAAGTATGTCCAGCTGGCTGGAAACCTGGAAAAAAGACTATGAAGCCTGATGTAGTTGGTTCAAAGGAATATTTTAAGGATTCTTAAACAAGGAAATAAAGATATTCATGTACTTCATTAAATGTCATTTGTGCTTCTTATATCTTATTTGTCATTAAAAGTGAATGGGTTAGTTTATAGTTCGCAGAAAGTATTACTTAAATATTAACACTAATTATATGCACAATATTGCCTATTTTTATTTCTTACAATAAATAACTTTCTTATATTTTGTGTATTTATGCCACTCATTTGAATAATAAGATAACGCAATATTTACTTTATTTTTATTTAATAATTATACATAGATATAGAGAATAGCGCTGTATTTCACAGCAAATACTTGAAATGAAGATTGCCGTTATTGATTGTTGAACGGTTTTTGTTAACGATTTAACATTGAGAGCGTGTAAGTTTGATCATTGTGTACGTTAAAATTATCGAATTGCTATTATTAAGTAACAAATAAGGTGATATGTGCACATTTAAACGACTTTTTAGTGTAATGAATACAATTTTGTAAATCAACATTTATTATTAAATTCCGCAATATATGATGACCAATAATTGTGAAAAAGTAATAGCTGAAACAGGTTAAAAAGTTCCCAAATAATTTAAATATTACAGTAAATTTTTGATAAAGTAAATTTAACGTCATCCATATTATGCTTTAATGCGTTGAGGCGTGCCATACTTTTAAGGCACTAATTTCTGTTGAGAAAAAATGTTAGGAACATGCTGACCGTTTTAAAAACAGTATGTATTATCAAATTAATAAAATTAAAAATATGTACAACATTGGATGTGTTAAATATACAATATTTTTTTAAGACAAACTGTATTACGATATTATGAACTTTTTTTTTTTTGAGAAAGTTTAATCATGAAATAATAGGGAAAGTGGTTATATAGGGTGTCCCACCGGAATATGAACACGTAAATACATATCTCTTTTATTTTTAATAACATGGAGAAATGTTGCAAGTATAATATGAATAGTTTCAAAGAAGAAACAGTGCAGTCAGTCATTTTTCAAGGTCACAGGTTTCTTTTGGTTACTGCATTCCATAGCGGATATAATCGTACTTGTAAATTATATTAGTAAATTTTTAATATGACATGATACATTACATAATTAAAATTTGTTCTGCTACTACATCAGAAATAAGTGAATCAGCACCACAATCTGTGATTGCTTGTTTTAGACATTATTTTAGTGGGACACTATATAATTCAATATTGAATACAAATAATTTTACTTAGTATAATGTTATTACAGGATGGGGTCTTTGTCACTGTTTTATTATTGGATTATGTGGCATGTGTGCATTTGCAGAAGCTTGTGTCCTTCCAATTATTCTACTTGTAGTTCCATTTGTAGCATGTGATTTAAGCCTAAGTACAAGCCAAGTGGCTACGACGTATGCCACGTTAACCTTAGGTACATGTAACGTACATATACAGAATGTTCATTACAATCTTTCTACGCAATTATCTCCCGAACTATATTTGTTATTCGAAAAATGTTTCATATTTGCATATGATAATTTACTTCACAGTTTCTTTAATTACATTTTGTATCTTCAGTAGTTTACAATACGTTTTATAAAAATAAAATTGTATTTAGGAATGGCTATAGGATCCTTTCTATTTGGAATAATTATCGATGCAAACGGACGAAAAGATTCAATTCCGGTTACTATGATCGTTGTGTTTTGTGCTACTATCACTTTATCCTTTGCGCAAACTATTTTTCTAATAAATTTATCGATATTTGTGCTTGGATTGGGGTAAGTCTATTCTTAAGTCTATTCTTATATATCTTACAAGAGTGGACAAGTTATTATCTACAAAGTAGGACAAGTACAAACTTTCCAGAAATTATTGTTGCAAATAAAAATGAAACACACGCTCTTGTTCGAAAGCATTAGGGCATTTACTAAATGTGAAGCATACTGACATCTACTGAATTCTACCGAAATCTATTGTAATCTTCTGAACTCTGCTGAAATCTATCAAAATCGGCGGAATTTTATTAAAATCTTCTGTATTTTACTAACATCTATTGAAATCTTTCGAAACTTTCGGAAATTTATTAAAATCTACTGTTTACTGAATTTTGAGAAAAATGAAAAATAATATGATACATTTTACGTATAATTGTTTAAGTCTTTTTATTGGTATGTTCATTTTAGATTAGCTGGTACCAACGTTGTTTTAAGAGTGTATTTAATTGAATTTCTACCTATGAAACGCAGAGGCTTTTGTTTAGTTCTTTTGGATATATTTGGAGTCATCGGTTACATATCGACATTAGGTAACGATTTTAAACAGTATATAAGGTAATTCTGGTAATTGGGCCAGGCTATAGCTCTGTTCCATGTGGAATTAGAAAACAATTTTCAAAACGCCTATATGCGTCAATAACAGTACAATGTTTTTCTCTACGATTTTTTTCTAACTTCACTTCGAACAGACCCTGACTCAGTTGATAAAATCACCCTGTATATCAGAAATCGTTTAAAACTAAGGTAATAATCATTCCCAGAGTATTTTTTAGGGAATGTAATTTTCTAAATTAAAAGAAAATTCGTTAAATATTTTATGGTTATATTGTAAATAGGACTTTCATGGCTATTAATCCCTTCGATCATACGATTACAAAATAAAAAATTTCGACCAAATTCTTGGCGAGTCCTTATAGGATTAGGAGGTATTTCGAATTTGATCATGGCATGTGCAGCTAGTTTACTACCAGCAAGTCCAAGATACTTGCTTTATCGACGGCGACACGGAGAAGCACTAGCTACATTACAACAGATATATGCAATTAATAATTCGAAGCATGCCGATACTTATTCAGTATAACTATTAATTCTTAGTTTTACACAGGATGCTTCATTTATCTCAAAAACTTTAAACATCCCGTTATTGTTGTACGTGGGAAAAATAAAAGTTCTTTCGAAAATCCAAATACCATACAACGTCGTAGAGATGTCTATTTTACCTCCATGTTTGGTCTGAATTTAAAATTCAAAATTTTAAATTTTAAATATAAAATTTTGATGTATGAAACATCCTGTTTCATTTTATATTTTATATTAGTAAAATTAATTATATAGTATATTGCCAATTATTCTTGTAGTTAAACAATTTAGATAACTGTGTTCAACCGGACGAAGAAGATGAAGGTGGTAGAGACACTTTAGTTAAAATAGTACAAAAATGTTGTGTAAAAGCATATAAACGGATTCAGGAGATATGCGAGAAACCATTCAAATACGTTACAATGTTAGGAATTTGTATCGGTTTTCTACAATTTCCCGGGTAACAAATACATTTTTTATTAAATTTAAAATTGTTTAAAAACATACCTTTTGTATAAACATTTAAAATAGTGCAAATAGACAAAAATTATACTCGTCACATTGTTCCCTTAATGATACTCTTTCTAAAATTGCTGTCAAGTTGAATTTCACCTTAATAAATAATCGTAATAATTAGAATCGTTTGGGTCGCGCTATGGAATACGGAATTACTTCAAGAGATGGGAAATTTTAATAAAATGTCCAAAAGAAATTCCACCTGTATTATCGGCGTACAGAATTTGGTACTGAAATTTTTTCACAATTGTCAAGAAGTAGACACAGATCGTTTCAAAGTTCTCTTGTACTTGTCATTGAGCTACATACTAGCGGAAATTTTATTATTAGCTGGAATCGACGTTATTCGCAGAAAAATATATCTAGGTAAATGTAACATTATTACAGGAGGTTGTAACATTTTTAATATACTAAATATGACAATTAACGTGTTGAGTTTAGCAATTTCACAGGTTTATAAGATGTAGCTGTATTGTTTTATTTCGCTACACTTCACCGCATCTTATTTTCAGTATTCTCGGGATTGATAGGAGCAATAGCGTGCTTTGCTTTGTTATTTACAGTTCATACTGTGGTTCAGATCGTTCTTTCATTCGTCATACTAGCAGCTTATGCAATTGGACGTACAACCACCTCGATACTACTATTGGAAAATTATTTTACTGGAGTAAGGTTAATTATAAAACACATTTTATGAAGATTCAATTTATTTGTCTCGTACGTACGACCGAGTGTAACCCTAGATTTCACATAAATCATTATTTACTGCCGTAAACGGTAAGAAATACAAAAAAAAAAATAAATACAACACAAACATTTTCTTAATTATAACTAACACAGGAGACTTTCAAATTTTTTTAAATTTCCTTATTTATCTGCAACAACAGACAATTTTAGGAAAATGAACATAATTATCTGTAATAAAAAAAATGTAAGTAGTTCAATGGCGCTATATCTCGAAGATAGTATTCAAATTAAATTAGTGTTTTATTTAGAACCTTCGCGTCTTTGAAATATTTTCTCATGTTACAAAAAAAAAAAAAAAAAATGTAAAATTATCGCTAACTTAATTCTGTTTTCAGAGGTACAATTCTCGGCTTGTCAAGAATACTTCCATATTTGATTGGGAGTGCTACAAAATTTTTCGTAAATATATACTGCCTTCCTAGTATTCTGATCGTGTCAGGAATTTTAATGAGTAAGTACGTGAAACTTTGAAATTTTCAATGAAAACTTTCCGCGCTGTTAACGGATTAATCGTTTTATTTAGGCGCAGCCGTTGCGGGATCACGAATGCCTGACCTAACCCGGTTACCGATGCAAGAATAGCTTGTTTGCGTTTTCATTTCTTCCACGGTCTTGAATGATTTGGAAAAATTACGAATAATCTTGTATCGACAACGAGCGCGATAATACACGCTACGAACTTCTTGTAACCAGCGGAATATCAGTATCATTTGTAAATTCATAGTAATCGAACTTAATTAAAATTCGAATTCAATTTTCGTTATTCCATTGTCAGCGGATCGATGGTAATTTCTTTTATCGCACAATATGGTTCACCCGAGGCCTTTAAAACGATCGTAGCACAGTTTTTTCGGAGTTTCCAAGGTCGCCTTCGGTGTCTCTTAAGTATAACCGTGCAGCCTCCTTGGCTATCAGCTGGCATTGAGACGAATTTAACGAGTATATATAGTGAAAAGTATTTTTTTATAAGAATGAATGAAACAGCGAGGAAAGATATTGAGGAAAAAAGTGATTTTGTGACGCTGGATAGC